ATGAAAACATGCACCTCTTTGAAATTGAAGGTCATGTGTCATTCTGCACGTTTTCGTTTTCCATGACTGGCAGAGGCGGATTCAGGAATCGGAGGTTGCGGGTGCCACTATTTTATGCATATAGTATATCCAGGGCGGATATATATGACACCAAGCAGTGTCACAGGACATCACTTCCCCAAAATCTTTTACTAAATATATGATATATAAGTAATAGATAAAATAAAAATATTGGATATAAATACAAAAATTGACTTTGTCATTATAGGTATTTATTCATTTGTTCACTTTTTCGAATGCTAACGCTATTTATGAAAATTTATGCGTGCCTTTAAATATTACCTACAACTAGCTACAAGACCAAATTGGAAGGATGGGTCGGTTCGGTTAGTTTATAGTTTACTCGAATAAGTCTTTCATTCACAAAGCAAATAAGTTCGATTTAGGTTCATAAGTTACAAAAAATACGTGAAAGAGCGTCTCCAATGAATTTTTTGCTCAAAAAATAGTTGAATACTACATATTCTTTGTTTGACTAGATTAATTAACCTTTAACGTTAATTGTCGAATTATATGATAATATGTTTAAAGCAAAACCTTCAACATTCAAACCTATAATAATCAACTCAAAACGACTATTAATCAAGTTATTTTTTTCAAAAGCTAATAGAAAAGACAGTTCCAATAATACACTAATATTTAAATTAACATTGTGTCATAAAAAAAAAAACGAGACATTATATGACCTAACTTGGAAAAACGTAAGTNGTTTAGAACCTAATAGCTACAATTTGCCTAATTACTATTCATAGCTGCTGTTTAATTGTTACTAACTTATATCACTTGATTCAAACGCTCAACGATACAGGTAGTCCGTAGCGCAACGAATACAACCCGTATCAATTGTATTCGTTCAATACCAGTTATTAGTTATTCAGTTGCCAGATCTCCAAGTTTTTAGTGTATCAAAAGTTTTGGTGGCTGGTGAGTATACAGTGATGCATATGGGTTCTCAAAGAAAATGTAAGTAACAGTGATTATAGCGAAACCTTCGCATATTTTAGGTCTGGATTAAGACCAAGACTCACCGGTGGCGCGGGAAGTGATTTATCAGATGATGGTATACTTTGAAGGATAAGTTTGTGCATGGTAGTGTATTCGTATGTGTTTTACCTCCTAGAACAACTTCATTTAATTCTTGGAAATGGAGCCACAAGTTAGATGATAATAGTTCAGATATCAGACCCTAACATTGGTCACTATAGTTTTGGACAGAAAAAAGCCTAAGGGTAAAGTACCTAGGAATCAAAAACGTTTGTTATTACCAAAGATGTGATTTCGTACAACTCATGCAAATGACTAGAAGATATGATGTATGCCATGAGAACCCAGAGCAGCCAATAGTGAATTTCAGGGAATGATTTTAAGTTGTTTAGATTTATTCAAATCAGAACTAGAAGTACCACACTAGTAAGCTACTATAAGAAGCAGCTATTGATGTAAGATAAAAGATATGTCAGTTCCCCCCTTAGGGTTATGTGACTAAATGATTACCCCGGATGTTTATAGTATGATATGGTTGCGGAGTGCTTTATTCTCATTCTCCATTTCTTCCATTTTCTTCAGAATAGCTACGAGGGCGTCGTTACCTGCATCAACAACGGTGTGAGTGTTACCTGTCGGGGGAAGAGCGTGTCGCTTGTTGATTGTTGTTGGGGTGTCAACTCGTGCGGTGTTCCTACTCGCCCCTTGAGCGGGTTTGTCGAGTATACTGTTTAGGGTACTTGTCAGCCATGCCTCCAATAACTTTTTCACTGCAGGCGGCGCTTCCTCCGTCGTGGACGTGGAGGCTCCTTCTCATGTGAAGCGGTTACACTCCCATGGGGAGGAGGTGAGTCACTTTGCTTGGGTGAGGCGCTCGACGTCACATTCTCCTCGTCTTAGTAGTGATACCCATCACTGCTTTCAGTCTTTCCTCTCCTTTTCCTGCTATTGTTAGCTTGTGCAAACAAGAAAAAGGAAGCTTTTGTTGTTGTTTTTTTAGATCTAGAAGAAACTAAACTTTTTAACTAGGAACTCCCCACAGACAGCGCCCAAATTGTTTGACCAAAATTTTTTAGGCCCTTTTTGTTAAACCAATTTAATAAGTAGATAAAGGGTGAATCCTAGTTAAATGTAATAAGATCCTAGATCTGAAGTTCAATAATTTGGATGGTACGGGGCCGTATTCAAGCCAATGAATGCCAAGTTAATGCTCAATGACTATCAATAAATATGAGAAGGAAAACATGCAATAAATGTGACAAATGGCATTAAATGTAATAAGAAGGAATTTGTCACCCAAATGTTGAATTACATAGAGGATTCCTTCTTCTGGCTATTGCGTGTGACAACAGATTATGGAAATGAACAAAGTGTTCATGAATCGTGAATAAAAGAGGAATGTTTAGTAATGGAATCAAATAGAGGAGAGAAGACAAGCTTTTTGTATATTCTTGATAGTCAACCATTTACAAGATGTTCTCCTCAGAAAAGTCTAGAAGCCCCCTTTTTGTTCCCTCTCTCTTCCTATTTATAAGAGATATTCCTAGAAAACCTAAGAAAGTACAATTGGGGGGAATTTTCCTATTCATAATCCTAAGAATATTCTAACTGTTGCTGCTGTTTGTTCTCTACTCGACCTTGGCACTGGTCTCTCTCTCTGGGCGACTCCTCGCCACTGGACCGCAATTGGCTTCGACCTCGGCCTCAGCTCGTCCGTTTGCATTCACTAAACTCGACCTAATATTGACTCATACAATACCAACCTAGAGAGACAAAACTTAGAGGAATATCTTGTTACTTGCTTAGAGTTAATTGATGAATTTAGAGAATAAAGGAAAGTAAAATTTTAGATTTCTTATATGTATTTCGGTATTTCATTTTAAAATACCTAATACCATTTTTTTAAACTTAAACCAAATACCATACTGAATACCAAAATATCAAATATCGAATACTAAAATTTTCGGTTTCGATACGATAATTCAGTATTTACCAAATTATGCACCGCCCTAGATGTGAGTATGTAGGGGCTTGTATTTAGTGTTGCAATCTATATTGCGTTTCAATCCTAATTAATTTTTATGATGGTTTTTGTCGAGTCAATTACTCAAATGGTCACTCAACTATCTCAAATTATCTCCTAATGTCACTTTTCTTTCGTTTGCAACAACAAAGTCACTGAACTATGCCTATTGCACTCAGAAGGTCACTCAACTAGATTTTCCAAATTTTGGATTGCCAAATACCTATTTTACCCTCTAAATTATAAACATTTTATCTTATTTATTTTTTTAAAACTTTTTAATATTATGATTTTCCCTTTTCAATTTATATTATGGACTTACCTATAGAATAAATAAATATTATTTATAAATTAAAAAATAAAAACTATTTAAGCATCTATAATGCTGGAATAACAAAATAGTGAGCATAGTAAAAAAATTAATTAAAATAATTTGTTCGTAATAAAAAAAATTAAAAATTTATTTACACAATTCAGAATGAAAGAAAATAAAGATAGTAAAATATATATTCCATGCACGTAATATAAAAATAATTATTTAAATAAAGGTATTTTATAATATACATTATATATTCTTGAAAATTATGCTCAATTATATTTTATATATTTCATGCACGACTTAACATAGCATATTTTATCCTATACAGATAGTCCCATTGCTTTCCGGTGGCATAACTTTGTGTCGTCGGAAAGTTGGTAGAAACATAATAATATAATTGAGCATAATTTTCAAGAATATATAACGTGTATTATAAAAATACATGTATTTAAATAATTAATTTTATATTACGTGCATGGAATATGTATTTTACAACCTTTATTTTCTTTCATTCTGAATTGTGTAAATAAATTTTGAATTTTTGTTGTTAATACTAAAATTATTATTACTAACAAATTATTCTAATTAATTTTTTTACTACGCTCATTATTTTGTTATTCCAGCATTATAAATGCTCAAGTACTTTTTATTTTTTTAATTTATAAATTATATTTATTTATTCTATAGGTAAGTTCGTAATATAAATTAAAAAGAGGAAAATCATAATATTAAAAAGTTTAAAAAAAATAAGAAGATAAATGTTTATAATTTAGAGGGTAAAATAGGTATTTGGCAATCCAAAATTTAAAAAATCTAGTTGAGTGACCTTCTGAGTGCAATATGCATAGTTCAGTGACTTTGTTGTTACAAACAAAAGAAAAGTGACTTTAGGAGATAATTTTGAATAGTTCAGTGACCATTTGAATAATGGACTCGACTTTTGTCATATTAGTAGTTTTTTAACCGTTAGTGGAGAGGCATTTCGAGCTACCTAGCTAACAGTGAGAGCAATTTTAGGCCAAAAATGAGACGGAGAACAAAATTAACACATTTCAAATAGTTCAAAGGCAAAATTAGTCTTCTTCCCTTGTTTGGTTTCTTACTTATTAGTACCACTATTTTGGTTGTGCATACAAAAGGACATGAAAATCGGCACTCTTAGCCATAGGTTATTGTTCATTCTGTGAACATGAGATTTTGCAAACTTGTCTTCAATTTTATGTACATTTGTTAGAGACAGTTGAATCTTGATTGTACGGCAGATAAGAGCCATTGAATGACAGAAAAGAGAACAGTTTTTGCAGTGATTCAAGACTTATAAATGCTTTCCCCTTCTAGTGGTCATTCAATTTCTATCGGAACAACACCTAACAAAGACGTAGTAGGGAACTAATGTCTATCGCTTTTCCCCTCTAGCGGTCATTCATTCTTTTGATGACTCTCAAGTCGAAAGAGTTGGTTGGCAGTTCAAACCTCATCAGAAGTAGTTGAAGAGACCTATTGCTAATACTAAGTAGTAGTAAAAAAATTGTATCCATTTTTCATGATATTATGCATGGATCAGGTATATCATGGCGAAATCATCAGAAAAGTTGTGTCTTCCACAATGGAATCTGATAAGCGAGATGATCTCGATTTCAACTGTGGAAATGTTGGAATCATGGAAATATTACGAATCATGAAACTACAGTGCCCGTGTATATTGCTGGAAGGCTATATGATGTTCTATAAAACTACCAGGACTAGAAATTCTAGCCTCTAAGAAGAGATCACCAAGCCAACTTACGGGGGACAATTACTCTAAACACGCATTTCCTATACAAAGCAAACTATTTAAAAGAGAAAGCAAATACAGGAGGCAAAGTCTGAGCTTAATGCATATGGCGTTGAAGTAATTGCTTGAACCAATATGCTGACATCTTCGGATATCGCTTGAGTGTTCTGTAATCAACATAGATTATACCAAATCTAGAAGTATAACCCCGTCTCCATTCAAAGTTGTCGAGCAATGACCACGCGAAATAGCCTATGACATTAGCTCCTTTATCGATAGTCTTCTTTAGTTCAGCTAAATAGCTTCTGTAGTAATCAATCCTTTTAGTGTCATGCAGAGCTTCAGGAAGGGAAATGTTGCCTGCATAATCCATACCTGAAAAATCACCTATAGTTAGTCCTCAGAATTCCTTTTAAATTGGTCTGGAAACATTGTACTAGTTAATTAAGTATACCATTTTCTGATAAAATGATGGTAGGATTTCCATAGTGTTCTTTTACATAGTTGACAGCTTTGTAGAGACCCCACGGCACAATATAGAGCCAGTCGGAATGCGCCTACATTCATTCGAAATAAAGATGGAATTAGCCATACAGTTGGGAATATAGTCTTTTTTGAGGTAAAAAGAGCACACCGGTGCACTAAACTCCCGTTATGCACGGGATCCGGACAGGGACGAAGCCACATGGTCATAAGGCGTCAAAAAATTACACTGTGTATATAGGTAAAATATTACGTTTTAGAGGTATATAACACATATTGAATACTCTTTGTCAGGAATTTTTTCACTTCTTTCAAATTTGAACACCCTTGGGAAATTCCTAGCTTAGTCACTGAGTCCAGAGAAGGCCGGACCACAAGGGTCTATTATACGTAACCTTACCCTGCATTTATGTAAGAGTCTGTTTCTACAGCTCGAACCAGTGACCTCCTAGTTACATGGCAACAACTTACAAAAACATTAAATTCAATGTGCTTACCCTAGGACCAATTGGTACGCCTTTCCGATCATCTGCATCAGGTCAAGAAATGAATTAAAAAGTAATAAAATCTTTAAAAGAAAGAAGTGAAACTAATATATATTTGTATCTTACAAGCAAATGCACAGTTCCAATCCTGTCGGTAGCCAAGGGCTTTTGGTTTGGATAGATGGCGATCATATGCGTAGAAGGTAGTATAATGGTTTATGCCCACATAATCAATTGACCCTTTGACCATCTTAACCTCTTCTTTTGTGAATTTGGGTAACCGATTTCCAACAATATTTTGCATGGTTTTGGGGTACTCTCCATATACTAGAGGATGCAAAAACCTGTATAATAAAGTCCAAATAAAATTTTGCAATAGTATTAATCAATGTAGTGCCATATTTGCAGATTCTTACCATCCCAATTCAAAGTCTCTTGCTCTTTGAGCTGCATAATTGTCAGCTTTGGATTTGGTCAGAGGTTCAAACCAAACAAAATCCAAGATAATTCCAAATTTTCCCTTCTGTTTCTCCTGTGATTGCCATTAGAAGATGAAGTTAAAACTTGCTCATCTTCTCCTAGTATGTCTTGAGTTGAAATATGGCGTACGATATCCAAATAAAGCAACAACAACAACCAGTATAATTCCAAGAACTCCCTCGGCATCCCTCCCTCCAAGAACTCCCCATCTTGCTCTTGGGGTGACTCGAACTCACAACCTCTTGGTTGGAAGTGGAGGGTGCTCACCACTAGAAGCAACCCACTCTTGTCAACATATTAAAATACACGATAGCGTAAAATTCTTACATTATTAGTGTATATAAGTTAAATCCAAAAAAAGGATTATTACTTGATACTTTACGCGATATCTCTGAGCTGCAGCAGCATGGCTCAAGATTAGATTATGTGCAACAATATATGGCTCAGTTGCAGAATCCCCTGATGTACAATTGCCAAATGCTTTGGAGCACCTACCAGGTGCAAAGTATCCAGTGTTATACCCTAAATCAGCAACAACTCTTGGTTCATTAAATGAGAACCAATTCTTTACTCTGTCTCCATATGTTTTGAAGCAAAATTCTGCATAATCAGTAAAATCTTTCCTGCAAGATTTAAATAGCAAAAGCATTTTCAGAACAAAGAAGTAACAAGGTTGTAACCTTAGCTTATCTTATTCATCAACACAAGAAATCATGTGGGGTATATTTTCTTGATATACAGTCAAACCTCTCTATAACAGCCTTATTTGTTCAAAATATTTTTAGTTGTTATAGCGAAGTGTTGTTATAAACAACATATATTATAACATAACATGAAAGATGGTTCCAAAGAAACTTAATTTTTATAGTGAATGATTGTTACATAACGATGCTGTTATAGAGAGGTACGACTGTACTTACACGACTTCATGACTCAACCATCCCTTGTACTTATCTTGAAGTGCTTGAGGTAAATCGTAGTGATTAAGATTAACATATGGAGTAATGCCTGCTAAAAAAAAAAGTTCAATATAACAAATCCATATCGAATATTGTTAAGTAGAGACAAATCCAGCATTTTAAACCCGTGGATAATTAAAAAGTACGCTTACCCCTCGACTATTTTTTGTGACAAATGTACGCATAATATATGTATAGTTGTAGACAAAATGTAATAGGTGTGTCTGTACGTGCTGCCAAAAAGCTACATCCATACCACACACAGAGGCGGATTCAGGAATCGGAGGTTGCGGGTGCCACTACTTTATGCATATAGTATATCCAGGGCGGATATATATGACACCAAGCAGTGTCACAGGACATCACTTCCCCAAAATTTTTTACTAAATATATGATATATAAATAATAGATAAAATAAAAATATTGGATATAAATACTAAAATTGACTTTGTTATTATAGGTGTTTATTCATTTGTTCACTTTTTCGAATGCTGACGCTATTTATGAAAATTTATGCTTATGCCTCTAAATATTACCTACAACTAGCTACAAGACCGAATTGGAAGGATGGGTCGGTTCGGTTAGTTTATAGTTTACTCGAATAAGTCTTTCATTCACAAAGCAAATAAGTTCGATTTAGGCTCATATATATATATATATATATATAACAAAAGATACGTGAAAGAGCGTCTCCAATGAATTTTTTGCTTAAAAAATAGTTGAATACTACATATTCTTTGTTTGACAAGATTAATTTACTTTTAACGTTCTTGGGTTATTTTTTACATGTTAATTGTCGAATTATATGATAATATGTTTAAAGCAAAACCTTCAACGTTCAAACCTATAATAATCAACTCAAAACGACTATTAATCAAGTTATTTTTTTCAAAAGCTAATAGAAAAGACAGTTCCAATAATACTCTAATATTTAAATTAATATTGTGTCATTAAAAAAAAAGAGACATTATATGCCTAACTTGGAAAAAGTAATTCATGAAGTAAGGTATAATCATAAAAAATAGAAACAAAATAAAGATTGTACAAAAGTCATAAAAACTTAAAGAAAAAGAGAGAAACTTAGCAAATAAAAGGAAGAAAAAAAGGAAAAGAAAACGAAGAAAAAGGAAAAAGAGGTGAGGCCCTAGGGCCCAACTGAAAATAAAGGAAAACCTTAGTAGAAAAAAGGAAAAAATTGAGAGAAACAAAGTAAACGCTCCTTCAGGGAATCGATCTCGCGTTACCGAGGTCAATGACAACCTTTAGAAGAGACGCTGAACCACTGGCACACTCATCGACTTTGTTAATTTCGGGTGCCGTTTCTTTAATATAACCATTTTCACACAGATATATTACATGCATAGTGAAATTTTTAGCAAAGCGAGCGGGTGGCGTGGCACCCCGACCTCGTAGAATAGATCCGCCCCTGATGACTGGTACAACAATGTATACATGGATCTTAGAAGATGATCACTATACGTGGAGTCGAAGGGAGACAATCATTCTTGATATGACTTGTCCGAGTTTTTATCAATCGAATGTAAAACCCGTTGGAGCGCTAAATGGAGAGTTGATAATCAATTGGTGTTGGACAAAATTGTGTGCTTACCATCTTCAGCAACGAACCATGAGAAAACTAGAGTGGGAGGGAAGTGAGGACATAGAAAAAACAAATTGCCACATCTCCAATTTTTGTGTACATAGGAATAACATTCTGCCTTTGAAGAACAACCCCAATATCCAAATCCACGGTTGCGGCACCTCGAAACTAACATATTTGCTATCTAAGCTGAAAAAAAATCTACTCCAATGAGATTAATTTCAAGTGAAATCAATGCCATCTTCACCGGTACAAGTTTCAGCGTATTTTTTGAATAATTATTATTATTAAACTCATGGTACATTTCTTGATAGTTGTGTATTTGTCTACTTTCTGTTTCGTTTATTTTCCTGCTTTTCTCCTCAAGTGGAAGGCTCAAGGTGTAGATCTTTTGGTGAGTAGGAGTTGAGACTCGTCATATGAAATTTTTGTTGCAAGATTGAAAATTTCATGATATACTCGGGCAGATATAATCCAAATTATGGGGCACGTGAACCTATGGTCTTTCTGTCAAATTAGGTATTTTATGTATGTATTTTTAAGAATTGGTCTAATATTATTCACTGCACCCATGCCTTGAAAAATTTGAATGGTTCACTTGGTTGAATACTCTTTTATTTACCTAAAAGAACAGGAATCAATTCTTACTTAATACTATATTTTTTTCTTTTTTTAGTGGTGTACCAATATTTCTAGTGTAGGTTTTTTTTTTTTTTTTGGGATCCTTATTTTGTTCCACGTTCCGTTTGCCGCATTATATTCCAGTGGTCTTCCCAGCTGTTTCTGTCTATCCTCTCTAACCCCTCCGATTCTTACCGTCTCCACTTCGAAGGGAGCATGCATCATTTTCTCTGAAAAATCCCAAACTAAAAAACCCCTAATTCTAATCGTAAAAATGCGCTAAATGTAGAATTTAACAAGTTCTAAAAGATGGATATCTACTCACCTGCTATGGTTCCCGGTGAGGTTGGATGCTATTCTTTTTAATTTTATCCCTTTGCTGCTTTTGTTGCTCATTTCTCCTTTAATGTGCATTGCTTTTTTTTTTCTTTTCCAATTCATGTATAGCAGACGTGTCTGATTTTCCCACTTTGTTATTGTACCGTACACTATTAATCTAATATAATGAGAGTTAAATCCAAATGCCTGTTTGATAATGCAGCTCGACATGACTATTAAATCAATCGGGGTTAAATCTCAGAGTTGCATCTTTTAGACTGCCTAATTAACAAGTCTTACAAATAAATCAAAATTTGCTTCCTCACCACCAGTAATAAGGTTATAAAAATGAGAATGATTAAGATCAATTCGTGATAAATTTAATATCACAAAGTTATAAAATATTGCTAATAGGCAAAGGTTTTAAGAGGAACTACTTGCACCGCTCAGAATTTTGTCTCCTAGTGTTATTGAACAGTTGGTGGGGCTGTAGCTGATAAAGTAGGATGGAATAAAGCAGTACGGGTCTTTCTAGATCTTATCTATAAATGTTTTTTGAAGTTTCAAATTTTTATCAATGGTTTACAGAAAAACAATGCTCCCTTATCTTCTATTGGTGCTTTTAGCACACGCCAGATGGGTAAGCACAGCAGATCTAGCAAATTGTTCACTGGTTAAAAACATATTCATTTTAGCCGGGCAGAGCAACATTTCCGGCCGAGGCGGCGTGATTAATCACTCTAACCGCCCTGGCGTGGCTAATGAGACGTGGGATGGTGTCATCCCACGTGAATGCGAGGCCAACCCATCAATCCTCCGACTCAGCGGAGGACTTACATGGGTTGAGGCTCAAGAACCCCTTCACAAAGACATAGATGTGAACAACACTTGTGGGATTGGTCCAGGGATGCCATTTGCCAATACAGTTTTGAAGAGGGATCCAAGTGTTGGAGTGATTGGGTTGGTTCCTTGTGCCGTTGGAGGAACGAGTATTACTGAATGGGCTCCTGGGGGTTTCCTTTACAAACAGATGATAAGGAGGACAAAGGCGGCCACTCGATGCGGCGGAAGGGTAAGGGCATTGTTGTGGTACCAAGGTGAGAGTGATACAAAGACACTTGAGGATGCCAAAATGTATAAGCGCAGATTGGAGAGCTTCTTCAAGCATGTGCGCCATGATCTGCAATTACCTACTCTCCCTGTGATTCAGGTAACTCATGGAAAGATCTACTATTGTTTATTGAGAATTCATTCTATATGCAAATTGTAGTTTGAGTTTACTATCCTTTTTAGTACTTACTAATTTCATCAATCTTTGTTCCTACACCACATGAAAACTCAACCTGTGGCCTTGAACATTTGCTCTGCTTTCCTTTTTTGGCGATTGGAATTGAGATTTGNTTGAGGAGTTCAATTGCAGTTTTTAGTGGAATAAATTGCAATTAATTATAGTAAGAATTAATTCATGCTAATTTCCAATTAATGCTATAATTGGTAGTCTCTTATTATTTCTGTGGTCCCTGTTATACCTAGTAAAAACCTGGACAAGACTTGGGTAAAAAGTGACTTGGGAGAAAAGTCATCTAATAGAGTTGGAGTAGGATTCTACTTGTAGAAGGAGAATCCTACACGTTTTTGGAGCACAATTTCGGCCAAAAATAACTCTATTAAAGTAAGACTAATTTCACCCAATAACTCACCTTTTAGAGTTGTATTGTTCTTGCTCACCCAAAAGCAAAAATCGTCCAAGGTTCTACTGGGCAAATAGCAGAAGACTGCAGCCCTGGATTCTTGCTGTTTGGAAGATCTGTGCAATTATTTCAAGAGGCTAGTGCTTCTAATCTCGTTATTATTGCGTTGTCTAGTTTAGATGTATTTGATGCCTGGATTGTTTGCTTGCTTCCGCTGCGCATGTTCTAACATGACATCACAAAACGACAACAAACAATACAATCTATCCAAACGTTATATTCATCAAACAATACAATACAATGTAGTACAATAAAATACGATACATTATAAAAAGAAAACGACACCAAACAACCATCCAAACAAGCTGTTAGTGACACCGGAAAGTTTAAGAATTTAGACAAAAGAATACAGCGGTACAAAGGGAATCTGACTATGGGTGCAAATATGCCTATTATATTTTCCTTGAATTACATGTATAGAAACAACATATATTTTTTTGTAGAATATGTATATTTATATTAACTCCCGGACTCATAATTATCACAAAGAATAGTAAATACACTAATTAACGTAGAAATTGACCCTTGGCAGAATACATGTAAACTTACTTTATAACGGTGGTACTGGTCCGCAGAGACCTCTCCACTGGCATTATTGGGCTCACGTCCTGTTTTAACACCAAGTAAAAACTCAAATTTCAGCTTATCAAAATCGTCCAAAAAAAATAAAAATAAAAATCACGACATAAGAGAAAAAAAGAGAGGAGTAGAAATGGAAGATCATTTATGTATACCAGGTATTTTAATGAAAGTGTCCCAAACACTAGGTCCACGGCCATCTTTACTGGCTGCACCTTCTACTTGATAAGCAGAAGTTGATGTTCCAAACACAAATCCCTTTGGAAAGCTGTCTCTGCTCAACCCTCCGGTGTCGAAAACCGCCGTCTCTGGCAACACATGATCGCTCTGAACGTGAGTTAAAGTGCTTAATATTATTACAGCAAGCAGCAAAAAGAGCAATGGAGTGGCTTTGTTGATCATATTCTTTACCGTTGGTGAATATATAGTGATGAGTGTAGTGTTAAGAATGGGGTGGGATGGCAAGTACGTAGAGAGAATCAAGTCTATTTATAGAAAACATATTAGGGTAAATGTCAAATGCGACACGGTCCGTTGTTTTCAATACACATTTCATTTATCGAGAAATGTCCGTGGCCAGGGAAGTAATGTCAAATGCGAGTGATGTAGCCAGTTGGCGGACATAGTCTGTTGTTTTCAATTTAGATGATATATTTCATTTATCGAGAGTCATGAACCGGTGTTAAGTTTGACCAACATTTTAAAATATATAATTTTATCATATTGATATGAGAAAATTGCAACTTATAGTAAGTCTCGTATAGTTTTTGAATATCCAAATTTTAATTTTAAAATATTAAGTTAAACTAATATGATTTAACTTTAACGTTTAGTTAAATTTACTTTCAATAAGCGAAATGTGTCATCTAAATTGAAATAGAGAGAGTATTACAAAAGTACGAAGCTCCAATAAACATTTCTAGGAACTCTCATTAATTTTAACAAAGATGGAGATTGATTTGATTCGAAATTTTTATGCTGTTAATTAAGGATGTGTACTTGTCATGCATTTGATTGACATGTGACATTGTTGGTCCTTATTCACTTACTAAATTACAACTCCGTTACTTTGCGCCGCCGCCTGGTGAAAAATTGACTCTAAGGTCAAATTGCATTATCATCATTTTGGACTTCATTTTTTTCCCGTTCTTTTTCAGGTTTAACCATCTACTAAACCTAGATTCATTGGCTCGACTAATCTAAATTTGCATACATTGCATAGAGAGAGCTTCCTACGAGGATTTCTCTGTTCCAAGAGTTAGAATTCGAGACCTCTAGCTAATTGAGAGAGTGGAGGAATTTTTTCTATCTCACCACATATTTTGGACTAAGTTACTCTTCCAGCCAGTTCATGAGAAGGCAAACGAGGAGGATAAGCAGCAAAAAAGCCTCTTTCTTGACCAAAGAATGATGCCAATTGTTCCGATGATGGCTAAACAAAGGGTAAACAAAAAGAAGTTGGGTAGTTCTTGGTCCAAAATTTTGTGGGGATAGCCATTCTAAAGGATGCTATTTAGAAATTAGCCAGTACTTATTTTCTCCTGAAATTTTAAACTAAAAATCTTAACTTCAGGATATTGTCCTGAAAAACTGAAATTCAGGATGTACTGACTAATTTCTAAATAACAGCCCTTTAAAGTGGCTACCTGGTGTCATTTCTATAAATTTTGTAGGTCATTTGATAATGTTGCATTTTACCAGATCACTTGAATATTGTCTATAAGAATTTCGTGATTAAAGTAGAAAGCCCATGTTTTCAAGGTGCAAGTTTAATCTTTTTCTCTGAATTAATAAATAAATTGGGAGGAAAGTAGCTTTAAGACCAACTGTCTTGTGTTTGACAAAAGGTAGATTGTTATGGTGTGTGGACCTGAGTTTTTATCATTTGCATTTATTACTGCTATATATTCCCATAGGCTTTTCTTCCTCTTTATACTATTTTAAATTTGATAGTGAGATAAGCAGTTAATCAAATGGCAAATCTCGATATTGAAGTAGAATCCAACGTACATAAATTACTACCGTTTAATTTGTATTTAGGAATATGGTAGAGACCATGAAAGACTCGGAGAGGGTGGTGGAGGTGAGGGTGAGGAAGACGACGTCTATATCCGACAATCAGTTTGGGTTCATGCCGGGCCGCTCCACTACGGAAGCTATCCACCTTATTAGGAGGTTGGTGGAACAGTACAGGGATAAGAAGAAGGATCTGCACATGGTGTTTATTGACTTGGAGAAAGCGTATGACAAGGTTTCTAGGGAGGTGCTCTGGAGATGTCTTGAGGCAAAGGGCGTGCCGGTAGCCTACATAAGAGCGATCAAGGACATGTATGATGGAGCTAAGATTAAGGTTAGGACTGTGGGAGGCGACTCGGAGCATTTCCCGGTTGTTATGGGATTACACCAAGGCTCTACGCTTAGCCCGTTCTTATTTGCCTTGGTGATGGATGCATTGACACACCATATTCAAGGGGATGTGCCATGGTGCATGTTATTTGCCGATGACATAGTTCTAACTGATGAGACGAGGGTCGGTGTTAACGAGAGATTGGAGGTGTGGAGACAGACTCTCGAGTCTAAGGGTTTCAAATTGAGCAGGTCTAAGACAGAGTACCTGGAGTGCAAGTTTAGCGCTGAGTCGAGGGAAGTAGGCAGGGACGTGAGGCTTGGATCACAGGTCATCCCCAAGAGAGATAGCTTCAAGTACCTTGGGTCGATGATTCAGGGGGACGGAGACATCGACGAGGACGTCACTCACCGTATAGGGGCGGGCTGGATGAAATGGAGGCTTGCATCTGGAGTCTTGTGTGATAAGAAAGTGCCACCGATACTCAAAGGTAAGTTTTATAGAGCTGTGGTTAGACCGGCCATGTTGTATGGGGCAGAGTGTTGGCCGGTTAAGAACTCCCATATCCAGAGGATGAAGGTAGCAGAGATGCGGATACTGAGGTGGATGTGCGAGCACACTAGGATAGACAAGATTATGAATGAAGATATTCGGAAGAAGGTGGGCGTGGCCCCTGTGGATGACAAGATGCGGGAAGTGAGGCTCAGATGGTTCGGGCACGTGCAGAGGAGAAGCTTTGATGTCCTGGTGAGGAGGTGTGAGCGGTTGGCCGTGGTGGGTACGAGAAGAGGTAGAGGAAGGCCTAAGAAGTATTGGGGAGAGGTAATCAGGCAGGACATGGTACGACTGCAGATTTCCGAGGACATGGCCCTTGATAGGAAGGTCTGGAGGTCAAGCATTAGGATTGTAGGTTAGGGGGTAGTAGAGCTTTCCTTACTTCATACCGGGGGTGAGGCGGGGTTGGATTAGGGTTGATCTTAGATGACTTGCAGTTTATGTTGAATCCACACTATCCTTGCTGTTTATCTTAGCCCCGGGCCTTAGATTCTGGTTACTGTTATTGCATGTCATTCATCTTTTGGTTGTTATGCTTCTGTTACTATTACGGTTTCTACTGGAGTTACTAATGAATTGTCTTTTCTTGTTTTTTATTTCCGTCTTTCTGAGCCGAGGGTCTATCGGAAACAGCCTCTCTGCCCTATCGGGGTAGGGGTAAGGTCTGCGTACACATTACCCTCCCCAGACCCCACTTTGTGCGATTTTACTGGGTAGTTGTTGTTGTTGTTGTTGAATATGGTAGAGACCAATGGAGTGTGAGTTTAATGGGTTCAAATGAACCTAGCATTTCGACTAGGGGTGGGCGTTCGGGCAGTTCGGATTGCATATAAAATTTCGGTTTGGATTTTCAGTTTTCGGATTGACGAAATGACAATCCAAATCCAATCCAAATAAGTTTGGATTGGATCGGATTTTTGAAGTTCAGTTTCGGATTAATCGGTTTGGATATTTTGGATTTTCGGTTTTGAGCTTATAAGTTGAGATGTTTCTTCTTTTTATAAAAATGAATATCCAAATGAAGTACTCATATTAAATTGCCTGAAAAAGTTCTTCATTCTCACCGCAATCATCCAAATGAAATGTTAAAGTAATGAAATTATTATATAAAAAAAATACAATAGAGACATTAATACAACAGATAAGAAGTAGAAATAGTAAAACCATGTCCAAATAGAAAGTATTCTCATAATAACTTAGTAATTAATATTGAATATATATGATAATATCTAATGGGTAAGGTATTGAACTTATTACTATTGACATATGGATAATGGACTAAATATAAAGAATAAGAATTTCGGATATCCAAAAATTCGAAGTACCAAATCCAATATCCAATCCGAAATCTAAAAATTTTAAAAATTAAATCCAAAATCCAATCCGTAATCTGAAAATCCAAACCAAAAATCCAAGAAATTCGGATTTCGGTTTGGATTTCGAGTTTGCCCAAAGTATGCTCACCCCTAATTTCGACATGAAACATGAATATGTTACAAATATTAAAATAAGCTCGTAACCTAAAAATATAATAGGGTTTAACGGTAAAATTCTAAAACTAAAAGTTAAAACTTATCAAGTTTAAATATGGAATTTTCATAACAGAAAGGAACATTACTGTGCCCATTTATACGCACGATTCTGAAACACTTCCTCTCTCTGCCGTTCTCATTTATATAATACATATGATATAAAAGTTGAGTATATTTTTATTTGATTTAGATGAAATATTCATATCATGTGTGGTGCATCCGAGACAATAAAGTACTCTAATCACGTTAAGACATGATCCTTTTTATTCTTTTATTATGTATGTATCAAAGAGGATTTAGGGAAAACTTTACCCATTAGGAGGCTTTTCGTTTGCCGTGAATAATTTGGAATAGTAAATGGTTAGTCCTATGTAGTAGGGGTGTCAATGGATATTTGAACACCGATTAAACCGACCGAACCGTACCGAATCGGTTTTTAGGTTTCTTTTAAAAATCCGTAGGTTTTTATATAAATCTATAACCGTACTGATAATTAGGGTGGGCTTTTTATTTTATAAAAATAAACCGAAAAAATACCGAACCGTACCGAATAAATTTTATATCTGAAAAATATATTTATATAGCTAAAAAATAATAAAGCATTTAATTTTTCATTGGGCCTTGGAATTATGAAAACTGTTAGAAGCCAACAAGTAATTAAACTCAAAATACTAATTCCTAAAACCTATTATGCTACTTCCACTTAAACTAAGTTATTTCAAGTATTTGCATTAGCAAACACAAAGTATTCTAGCGATTATGATTAGCAAACTACATTGTATTGAATATGTTTCCTTTCATATAATTTAGATTTATCTTTTTGAATATTTAATCTTCTATAGACTTTATTCTTGAGTCCCAACTTGGTTAATATCTTTCCACTCGTGTGATTTATATTTTTATTGCTTTTACTTGGTTGCTTTTAGGTTGCTGTAGAATAGTTGATGGATCTATACTCTAGCCATCTTTCATGTTTTTTTAATTCATCACCATTTAAACAGTAAAAATGTCTAGAGAGTTTTGCTAGGTCATATAAAAGAACGTATGTTACTGCATTCTACTGTGAGCATGTGATTTTTGCCTCGCTTGA